TAATTTACTGCGTGGGTGGGCGCAGTTAGGCGATGCATTTCAATATTGAACTTCAGTATCGAAGAAAAAAAATTGTATCAACTAAAAGGTCACAAAAAAATTGATGCTTTCAATGCGGGCGAACATTGAGTTTAGCCTCTTAATGCTTAAATTAAACAAAAAAAGGTTGTATCTTCTAAAACGTGTCATTAAAAAAAAAGAAAGAAAAAGAAAAGAACGGAAGGCAAAGAGGAAACTTTTACTTATCTATTTTTTTTGCTTCTGGTTTGTCTAGTAGCTTTAGCGTCCCAGAGCAACAATTTTTTTCACTTTGACGCGAAAGACTTTTTATTTTATTTCCTTTTATTTTCTTGCTCTAAAAACATATAGCACATTACAGAAGGAGATTGAAGACCGACGCTACAATTCGGTGCGACTAATAAATATAGCGTCAAAATCGCAACGCGATGGTGTTTGTCAGTTGTCTGTACGTCTGCACGTATTCTACCGTCGCTGAAAGAATCGTGTACAGGAGAGGCCCAGTGACTGGCACTTTTCACGCTGTTTGATTGGTCCCATCAACTCGCAGCGTCGGCTGCGTCTGGACTTAAAGAAAGTGAAACGAAGTATAGTGAATAAATACATCTGTTGGAAAAAAGAAATACTTAAAAAAAGTCAGGTTTACAGGTAAACGCTTTCCTGAATAGACAACAATCAACAATCGAAAGCATTCAGACTGGGAGGTGGTTTCAATTAAGGCACACACAGACAGAAAACAAGGGGGTGTATTCTTACACCCCTTTTCTCATATAAGACACCCCAAAACTTCAGTTCGACGTACAAAGCGCTGACGTCGAACAGGCGGCCTCAACGTTTACATGGTGCTTGAGAACGGTGAAATATACTTCATTAAACAGCTAATATACGCCTCAAAGACTCCAGCAAGAAAACACTGAGGTTTTGCAGTAATGCCAAGAAAACACCGATTACTTTTTTTGCAGTCAATAACACGTATACTAGCTATTTTAACAAGTTGTACCACTCGACTATCAATTCGCCCGTAAAAGTCGGAAACATCGGTTCGACGCCAGCGCGCTGTACGTCCAGCTGAAGTTTTGAGGTGTCGGATTTGGGGCAATAAGTGTAAGATTATACCCTTTTTTTTTAAAGTGTGTTGGGTGGTATAAAAAGCGTATAAAGCAAATTAGAACTGACACGTGAGGAGTGAAAAAATGGGAGTGAAGCGAGCTGTTTATGAAGTGTAATATGCTGTAATACCTATAACGAAATAAGCTAAGCGATTTTTCTGCGGACTACTGGTCTGGGATTGAAAGATAACCCGTCATGGAAACACTTGCAGTCCTATTATAATTCGCACGAGTGAAACGGACCGATCTGTGTTGTACGCCGTCAACTGACGCAATTAGCTCAGATAAGGGTCTCAAATTGATTATCCCTTTTTTAGGTTGTATTGGAGTTTTACGCAAGATTAGGTTCAGTAATTGTGGGGCTAATGAAAATTTTATTTTAAAATATCCTACCATGCGATTAGCATTGTTAGTTTTGTAATCTGTGTGTGTTTCCCTTGCAAAGTCAAACGTATGCACTCCATACGATACTTGTATTTGAAAGCCGATTACAATGAAAGGACCTGAAAATAGCGGTCCGACTTTGTTGTGCGTCGTGGTACGCGCATATATTTACATTTAGTTGAATTTAGTTCCATTGAGCAAGATTTACACCAGAGAGAAACTATGGTGATGTCATTTTGTTTGAATCAGATCACCTGGTTACTTGTCGATATAAAGCACAGTCGTCAGCACACGTTATAAATATTATATATATATATAAGAGGTGCTAAGTAATTTGTGTGGCTTATATAAATAATGCCTGACCTAAAACTGAACTTTTTGAGGCTTCTAAAGTGATAGACTCTAGATTTGAACTAAAACCTTTAGATGTAACCATGTCGGCGGTTAGTCAAGTAGGAATGCATCCAAGTGACCACACTAGAATCAATATCCAGTTCACTAAGTTTTAGTAGAAGTGTGTTTTTAGACACCTCACCGAATGCTTTTGAAACATTTAATTTTGTGACAATATTGATAAACCCGGGGAACACAGAATGTGGCCTGCGTGCAGTCAAAATAGGGAAGCTTCCTGTAGGTGTTTTGGAAGGCGTTACACTTTTGACACATTCATGTGCTGCCCGGGCTTATCAGTATAATAATAATAAAAAATTAGGCTTATTGAGGAACCGTGGCGCCGCAGGCTCACGCGGGGAGCTACACTTTCTCACTCGGGAGCCAACTACACTTCGTTTCACCTTATGTTGTACCGCAGCGAAGGCTAGAAGCGCGAGCTCATAGCGTTGGCAGCTGCACTTAAGTCACGAGAGCTTGTGCCGCCGGGATGTGCCCCAGAGCAAGGAGCTCGCGCTTGTAGCCTTTCCTGCGGTACATCATAAGGTGAAACAGAGTGTACCACAGAGTTTCGTGAGCCACATATCGGGAGCCAGCTGCGCGCGCTCATTTTCACCTGCCTCTCGTGGTACCGAGCAAAGGTTCCAAGGTGGGGATCGTACGGTCCGGGTTTCGAGTCCAGTTGCACCACTTGGTAAACCTCGCTGATTTTCATTTGAAATGTCTTCGATATATAACACATTTTTGACCGACTGTAATAATGAGGCTGAAATTTCGAAGAAAATTGGTGAAAAGTTCCGCTCGAAACTATCCTTACAATTCGAAATAGCCCCCTACTTGTGCCTTTGGGATAGTGAGCTCTAACTCGCACTTGCATACGCGCTTGGATACCAAGAAAGAAAATACGTTCCGAAAACTACTCCACACCCACCAACCGATCAGACGCACCGTTTTATTACACGGAAGCCACCACCCTTTGCTCTACTCGCATGCTGGTGAATCTTGAATAGCGTGGAAAAGTCATGTCGAAAAAAACAACAACAAAAAACAAAACAAAAGGAGATGAAATAATTGAAATTAGTTATGATTACCCGCTTTACTTTCTTTCTGGTGCAAGGCACATAATCGTGCATCTGCCTCACCGCATAGACATATTTTGATGTAAGGGTACGTGAATGAAAAATAACATTTGACCCGTCTGCTCCCGCTCACCACATACACAGGCGCACAACGACAAAAGCCTTTGCAAATGCTCAAAACACATTTGGCTGGTGTCAAAATGCAGAATTTATTGCGAAGACACGAACGCCGCTCCAGCAAATCCTATGGAATGCTGCACCTTAAGGAGGTTATATTCGGCAACTTTATCTCGTACTTACACACACCGGCAGTCCTTTTACTGGGGATAGAGCGCCGAAATAAATAAATAGCGGGCAAGCAGACAAACAAAAAACGAGCCCGTACACACGCGTGCTGTAACCATCCGCCCAGTGCCAAAAATGCCACTTGAGGCGAGAAAGACAATCCGCGGCTTGGAGCAGCTATCTCTATCTATCTCCCGTGCGAAACACCGCCCCCTTGGAGTGAATACAGGAGAGGGGAGGAAGCCTCGGAAAGACCGCGTGAAGGAAAATAACACCTATACGTGGCAAAAGCCGTGTTTAAACATCCACGGCTGACAAGTAAAAGAGAGATAAAAAATCGTAGCCTCCCTCCCAATTCCGAGCAGACCGAAGGCACCGTGGTTTCCGTTTTTCTCCCTTCCCTAATGAAGACATCTCGGCTTCCCTTTTTATGTGTGTCTTTATTTATTTATGTTTTTTTTTCCTCCCGTGGAAAGAGTAAATTAGCGCTGGAAACAGCGTTCCGGCGGTGAAGAATTTAAGCACAAACAAAACACGCACCGTAAACACAGCGGCAACAATTACAACAACAACAACAACGAGGAAGTAAAATAAAAATAGTAAAATGAAAAGAGAGGGGGGGGGGTGAGGAAGAAAGAGAGAGGTGCCGCCGTCCGCAGCTGAGACAAGCGGAAAGCGTGAGAGTCGTCGGGCAACTCTGTAATTTTCGTCTTCTCCGGGAGCGCGCTCAGCACGACGGACCTCCCATGCAGGCTGGCGGGTCCGAGAACCACACACGATGGTAGGGCAGCCGCCGACGAACAACAAAGCCCCGAGCGGCAAGATCCAGTCGCGGACAGAGGTAGCAATGAGCCTTAATCGATTGCATACCCCCCTTGTGGGAGGGAGGGAAAACTGCGTGCTTCGGTTTTTTCTTTTTTTACTCCTTTTTCCCGAAAGAATCTTCCGTCGTCTTCTCACGCGGAATCGTGAGGTAACCGCGGCGACGGCGACCATCTTGGGACCCCGTAGTTCATGTCGAGTTTTCTCTTTCTCGTTAGTGATTGGTGCTGAGCGGGAGCACTGTTGGCGATAGTTGCGGTATACGAAACACTCGGACCCCCCGATAGGTACGGTGTCAGGATGCTAAGGCGATATCGTGTTTTTCTCTGTCGTGATCCCTTTGAACGTTTCTGGAGCATGGAAAGAGCGTCTCCCGCGATTTAAGATAAAGCTTAAGATAGCTGGCAACCGTGATTTTAAGCACGTGCAGTGTGACGCGCGGCGATGGAATTATGAATGGAATGGAGCATAGCGTCGGTATTCTCTTAAAAGCCCATACAATCGGACCGTAGAATGCTTCCGCGGCGCTCTTATCACATTATTCTACAAATACGCAGTTCCTCGCCCCCCCCCCCCCCCCCCCACACACACACACACACTCTCTCTCTCTCTCTGCGGCGACGCTACGTCGTTGGTTGCACACGCTATGACGTTAAACCAACAGCTGCGTTTCGTTGCTGACATCCATAGCCTTGTACGCTGCGATTGACACCAACACGAGCAAGCGAGGTCCCTGGAGGTATCCGGCGTACGCGAGCGCGTTGTTTACAAATCAATTAACTCGCGTTTTCCCAGGGTTGGGCACTGCGAAACTGAATTCACGTGAGGTAAAGAGTCCGCGCGTGGCCTTACAGCAGCGTGACGTCGGAGTCGCACGTTGATCCATAAAGCCTTAAAAAAGGCGCCGACTCACCGTCCCTCGGTGCCCAGGGACCCGACTCGGGTGTCCCAGGAGCAGTAGTCGGGCGACTTTGTCCGGTAGACCAGGTCGGCCTTCTGGAGCCTGCCCACGTGTTCGCTGACCGGCACGATCTTGTGCGGGCTCCCGCCGACGCCCGCGGGCGCGTGGCGCGCCACCTCCACGGCCACCTGGTAGCGCCGCCGCAGGCGCTGGCTCACGTGACGCAGAGAGGACAGGCCGCGCCAGCAGGTCTTGATGTTGCACGCGCCCGACACGCCGTGGCACTTGCAAAGCGTCGTCAGGCTCTCGTGCACGGCCTGCGGCAGTTTCGGCAGGATCGGTCAGTGGAGAAGGGTACAACGAGGCCCTCGGTTGGCTACTTCATTACCCCGGAGGTCAGCGCGAGATCGGACGCGAGACTCCACGCGAGGCAGTGGTAGTGCAGGATCTGAGATTCCTGTCACCCCCTCCCCCAAGCCTGACCCCTTGCCCACCGACCACCGGCCGAAGACAGACCGTCCTGCTGAGGAGAATACTCACCGCGGGCGCGGTCACTCCTCCGTATACCTACGGAAGTCGTAGAAGTGAGACGAACGAAAAAGAAGGACCCCCGCTGCCAGCACTGCAAACGTCGAGGGTGCCCTCCCCAGTCTATACCTTTGATGGGAGCACCGTGCAAATCTGTGCCCTGGACCTCTTGACTCCCACCGCACACAAGTCTGGGCCGACATGGAACCGAGCGAAGGGTCGCAAACGCTCGAGGAATCGATTCTACGCCGCGAAGGGTAACTCTACGAGGAAGAACCGCACTCTGCACTCGCTGCTAGACTTTCTACAATCGAATCTGCTTGCCGATGCATCGTAACCTACGAACTCCGCCAGCGCGCCGAAGAAGCCACTTGAAATTAACTTCGTAAGTTTTGTTGTGTATGAAGGCTTCGCCATTTTCACTAACAATTGCTCCACACCTGCGTTGAAATGGGCAAAAACCAAACAATAAAATTATTTGATTATTGGTCGATCCTAATATTCAGAGGAGTAGAAGGAAAGGAAAATGGTAAAAATATGAATTTGACAGCAAGTCTACTGGCCGTATAGTTTGTTTTATCTTTAAAGAGACAATGACACCCCCTAAAATTTACTTTTTATTTCTTGTTGGGCGATCCATTATGGTGTCAGAAGAGTACCCAATCAATATTTTGCTACAGCGTCACATACATTTTTTTAAATATTAAAGAAAAAAACGCAACTGTTCGAAACCGAAACTGAACTGGGGAGGAAGAAGAAATGTAGTCGAGGGTTGCACAGCCGCTGACAAAGGTCACGCGGCTGTGCAACAATTTTTTTATTTTTATTTGTCAATCAACGTATTTCCAGCTTTTTAGAAGCCACAAGAAGAGTTATCCTATTTGTTCCTATTTTGAATGTTGGTTGTGTGCTTTCGATGACCCACGACTTTGATTATCCTTGGTGGTTTGTCTAAACCGTAGAAAACGGCACGTGACCACGGAGAAGAGAGTGAGCGCAACTCAGACCGGCCAGTTCTTGATCGACGGTTTTCGGGCGGAAAGAAAATGAATTTCGAATCGAGCCGCAGTTTTGTTCTGAAGAGTTGGACTCTCACATGTCATGCACAAATAGAAACCTTGGCGAACATAAATACCCTGTCAGTATCCCTTTAAGTCAGAGCACAGTCGAAGGCTCGAACACATACAACCACGTACACACAAACACACTAAAAGTGCAAGTCACGGGTCATTCGCTACGCTTGATTGACAGTTCATAGATAAGAGCTTCCTAAAGTACCTACATTCTTTGAAGCGCCGACTGCATGACAGTGCAGGTTTTAGGAAGTGAATGGCGGCGCACAGCAGGATACTGAACTGAATGACTCCATTTTGTCCAAGCGGAATGTGCTTTGTCATTTGTATCGGTTATTGTTACTTGTAAAAACGAGTATCAAGAGACTTTAGTCCCATTGGCTCGTAGCGTCGGTTGCGCGTGGACTTAAAATCAAGTATGGAGATTGCTTGTCAGCCGCGCTGGCCCGTCATCGAATTCCAAACGATGTCAGCGATGTCAGGCGCTAAAGGCCGCGAGAAAATTTTCCGAAATAGTGGGCTGACGACTACTATGATAATACGGGACGAGGGACTTTCACTCCCGATGGGATCACTTGATTATCGTGCCTGCCACATGTCTCCATGCCGTGGCTACAGTCACAGTGTACCGTGGCCACTGATCTCTATTTTAGTAGGCTGGATCGCGGATCGGGAGCCCGTCGGTGTCGCCACCGGCGGCCATTGCTTGACACCAGGCAATACACGCAAGTCTATGGGAGAAACGCACAGAACTAAACATATTGAAGCATGTACGCTGTGCTCGGAGGCGAGTATTTTATTGTGCGCTGCGATCCTTATGTCGGGTGTTTGGAGATCGAATCGGGATTTGTCAAACGTCCGGTCGCCGAATAAAAAAATCAAACGTACCAGAGCACCTACGGCTGAGCAGGGAAGCTTGCTCTCGTAATGAAGTAAACAAAGGAACTTGCCGTCAATTAGACCGTCCTCAGGGAAGCCCAGAAGTTGATGAATGACAAAGAAGTTCCATCTCGACAGCGGCTTTCCCGGAGTCAGCGAATTCCGCGTTGCAAAGCCTTCGAGCTTGTCGTCTGCTAAACCCAACTCAACGAAACCGCCACCGACTCCGCGGTAACTCTAGGTAACTCGCATCATTGAGCTGCACTACTGCGGAGTCACTCTCGACCACAAAATATTTATTTATAAGAATTGAGAGGGCTGTCGGTTTTAATGTTTGTAAGCAAGCTATTTGACGGGCTTATCGAAAAGCACCCAAAAAGTTTCAGTGCCGAGAACAGCTTAGAAGCCGGAAAAAACGGCACTTTTTCTCGTTCTTCCTATAGAGTCCCATGCATTGGCTGGTGTCAATCAATGGCCGCCGGTGGCGACACTCGGCCCCAGCTGCCGAGGCCGCGATCCGCGATCCAGCCTACTACAGTAGAGATCAGTGACCGTGGCACTCGTGCCGCCCGCGCCAACCTTCACTTCCTCGCGCCTGGACGCGCGAGTCGAACTTCACCTCTTTACACCGGAGTGCTAGGAGCAGCGATTGACACGGGGGACCGCCTGGGTTAGCGCGACTGCCTCGCAAATTGCATTCGATACTATTACAGGCCCAACTTATTTAATATTAAGTAAAAACTATTAAAAGAAATTTGCCAAGAAAAAAAAAAAGGGGGGGGGGGGAGGGTGAAGTTGAGACACTTACGCACCCCGAAAGGTGAGACACTGCGACAGCTGTTGCTTGTCGTCAAAGCCGCTAAGGTGTCATTTCGAACCAGATGGACATAATGAACGGTAAAGGTGCGGGCGCGCACCACGCATAGGAGTTTTGTATTAAACTGGGTAACACATCGGACGAAAATTCCATAGCGTTTTTGGAACCAATAAGGGTGTATTAAGTAGAGAGCATCTCGAGAACCTGCCGAACTATTTTATTGGTCACAAACTATAGGACTGCCTTGTGGTAACAGAAGGACACTTCAAAACTCGCGCGCCCAAGTTCGAAATCAAGGGGAGGGAACGACGAAACTTCATGTGTATGCGAGAACCGTTCCCCGTCGTTGGCGTGGCTGCCTGAATGTCTTATGTGATGTCATTGCACACAACCTAACACCGCTTTGTGGTCTCCGAAGAACACTTCCAAAATCGAGCACTCAAGTTTCAGTCGTGTAGATCCACCTCATTTTAGGCGCGTGGTTTCGCCGACTAAACACCCACCTAGCTTTATTGGTTTTATTACCCGAGAACCTTTCTGGCATAATAAGCGAAAACGCTTTGCTTTTATTGTTTTCATTATCATCTGTCTCATGTTTATGGTTTAACGTGCAGTCAGGGTGTCACGTGACGTCATGACATCACGTGACTCACGGTGTCACCTGACGCCATTAAGTCGCGTGGCGTCACTGTGCAACGTGACATGACAAGGTCACGTCATAGTGTCAGCTGACGCCAGGTGACGTGATGCGCGGCTTGACGTCAGGGTCGTGTGGAGCGGTGTGACGTCAGCGGTGCGACGTCAATGGGGAATCTTTTGGCGGAGTGCCGGAAATGGCCCGCGTCGATATGAAGCGCGATCGACGGCGCGAAACCCGCGAAGTGTACCACTAATTGTTATCGCAATTAAAAAAAAAAAAAAAGAAGCGCGGGCTTACATATGGATAAATACGTCAGTCAGGGTAGTTCCCGTGCAGCAGTCGAAGGCAGCAAACTTTGACTTGACTCTGGTTCCAACGCCGCTAAAGCGTGTCACTTTTAGAGCACTACTGAGAAAGAAAGCCTTACTTGGTCCCATTACGAGGAAAGCCGTCGACGTTGTCCCCGAAAGATGGTCATAAAACTACGTCATCAAGCACGCGCCTCAGAAATAAAACACAAAGAAAAGCACAGTAACGCAGATGTTTTGTCGCGGAAGCCGTCGTGAGGCCAGCGGGGTTCGCCGCGCCTGAGCGGTGGGGGAACGTGATGTCACCGGCGGAGCGCCGTGTGCGAAAGGAAGACGTGGCGCGCTGCTTGTAGGAATGCGCTGCGTGTAGTAGGAATGCTTTCGCATTCCTACGCGTAATCAATCTGTCCTCGGCGATTTTTTTTTATATAATACTTGTGGGTGCTTGTTTTCGCTCTTTGTGGTTTTAGAGTTATGAGGTTGCTATAGGTTCATAAAGTGTAGGCGGACGTATTTTTATTGACAGACGTACATCGAGGCGAAGTGTCTAAAGACGAGGGATAGAAAGCCGTTGCTAAATTTTCTTACCGAGGGCCAACGCGGGGCAGATATTGGACAGAAATGCTAGGACAGCGTTCGACTGGAACTCACATTGAATCTGTCAGAACACAAATCCCGTTCGAACGCTGACACAGCACTCGGTTTACATATGTGACCCACCCTGGCTTTCGGTGGGTGACGTATAAAATTCAGTACTATGGCTTTCAATCTAAAGTCGGTGACAGCTTTAAGAGTTCAGGGAAAGCTCCTCCCACCTCTTTCCACTTCAGCAGAGCGAACGCAGGAAAGGAGGTCGCTTCTGCCGGGAAGAAAACCGGTTCCTAGTTTCCTCCTCTCCATTCCATCTCGCCTACTTCTCCCATCCTCTCCCCGCAAGAGCGAGTCTCTGAGCTTCCCCCCGCAGATGGGAGAGGGTATTTCTTTTTCTCGAATGGAACCGAGCAATTAAGAAAGAACTTCCCCGTTTCTGTTTGTTGGTCGGCCTTTAAGGGAAAAAGGTAGGAGGAGCTTCCCATGACCTCTTATCCTCTCACCGATTATAGCTGGTTACGCACTGGTCCTCGCTTTCTCGGTTGCGTTTCCCCCGTCGCCTATAAGGTTGCGTCCGCAGTCTGCTACAGCCAGCTCTATACAAGATGTTCTCAGCAAATCTTACGGCACCGTGGAGGGTGATGCACGTTCTGCCAAAGACCTACCGCATCCAGCGTGGCTCACCTGCCTGCCGGCCTTGTAGTTGTGGCGGTTGAGGAGCGCCCTGAAGGCCGTGTCCGGTGGGGCCCTCTTCCAAGGGGCGTCCGTGAAGGCCCTCGCAAGGCGGGCCCCGAAACGAACGTTGTCCGCGCAGCCGCCCCACTTGAAATCCCCCTGCGGAGGCTCTCGGGGCGCCCGGCCGCAGCCGCAGCCTGTTAGCCGGCCCTGGCCGCACGCCCTGGCCCAGGTCTGCGTCAGGCTGGCTGAGGACAGCGCGTACACGAACGCCTGCTCGCGGGTGCCTGCGACGCCGGCGGTTGTGCACAGACTCATTTACACAGCTGTGCTTGACCAGGGACTTATAAAACCGCCCCCCTCTCCTATAACACACCATTAACGCACCCTCCAAATGAGCACCAACAAGCCCCCCCCCCCCCCCCCCCCCTTTTCTCAGAATTTCCTACAGAAAATTCGCAAACCTATGGTATTGCGGAGGCGAGTGTCAGCCACCGCGCCCGACCTCCCAAGGTGGACACTGGACACAAAGTCCCTCTGGGTTGGGCATGCAGCAAGGCAACCCTTCTACAGTATATACCCCCAAAGCCGCTACCAAACATTTCAAAGCGTGAACAAACGCACAAGGTGTGCACGGAGCAAGCGAGCTTGCGCGCCGTATTTGCGTACCAATTATGAACAATTTCCACCGCCTGTCTCGCTCAAGGACACGCGTGTGGCTAATCATTAAACACTGTACATTATTGGAGCGCCATCGAGCGCCGTGGCTTAGGAAGGTTTCATCGCCGCGATATGCAGTGCTCTATTAGGGAGTTTTCGTAGATCGTTTTCGCCGACCCGCAACGCTCTCCGCAACCCGCTACGATGCCCGGAACTGTACAGCCAAGGCTATCGGCGCGCAAGCGCGGTAGCGGCTTCTTCGTTGCGGAGGGCTTAGCGGAGAGGGAAACGCGGTCTACGAAAACTCCCTATTGGCACGTGAAACCGTAGCGCAGATAGCATTTTCTCGGTCTTGTCATACCGACCGGTCGGAGGTTATTATTTATTTATTTGTCGTGTTTTTTCGCGTTTGCTTACATCTTCGGGTGAAAATGAACGTGATATTCAGATTCACAGAATAAAATTACTCTAGAATGCATCAGCATCCCCAATGCGCCAGTGCACGAGGCTGGTCCCGCGGCCGTTGGATGCGAGTGGCGGCGGAACACTCGCTCGTGGCACGTGTCTTGCTCGTTCCCACAACAGAAATTGGCAGTAGTTCAGAACGAAAACAAACAAACGCCTAGTGTGAATTTAGCTCTAGAAAACAGAGCCTTTGATTACGCTGAATGAAATAAGTTTAGTTTCCATTGAAAAAAAAAAGAAAGTTGTGCCAAAGTTAACGCATGAGCCAATCACAAAATACAAAACAAAAACGAAGAAAATCTGCAATAATAGATTCTTACATACTAGGGAATAAGAATAGCTTTCTGTGACATTCCAAAAGAAGTGAAGAGTGCGCACTCGCAGCTCTAATCGGCGCTCGTATGCTGCGCGATTGCACATGGGCACCCTGTTTTCGTTGCGACGAAACGTTACCAAGTGCGAGGGGGGAGGCCCGATGGGCCCAAAAGAACCCGTTTTTTTTAATGATCGTGTATTTATTTTTGCACAGTTAAAATTTCTGTTAGCTTTGAAGTACTCTCCGCCTTGGGCAATACGCTTGTCAAGACGTTTCTTTCAATTCTCAAAATAGCCTTTAAACTCGTCAATTGTAGTGCCTTGCAGTGCTTGTTTTTTTTTAATGATTTTTCACATTAGTAAATTGCACGAGAATTGTTTTTCAACTAGAAAAACAAAAAAAAAATATATATATATATTCAGACGGGCGAGGGTGGGATGTTGTTAAAAAAAGACTGCTGAACCCTCAGCGCCGTGTGGGCGGAATGACAACCCGAGATGTAACAAAGAGAGGACATGGTTCGTCCACCATGACAACGCGCCTGGCCACACTGCGCTGAGTGTTCGGTAGTTTTTGAACAAAAACAGCATGACAAACCAACGGCGATTGGCCCCATAGTCCGAGGGATGGGAAGAGGTGCAATCTACTTCTGGTTTACGTTAGAAGAATGGAAAGGAATAGAAATTGAGGGATGTTTTGAGCATTGGAAGAAACGCCCCGACAAGTGCATTGCATCAGGCGCACAGTACTTTGAAGGTAACTGGAATGGGAACCTGTATAAATAAATACACGATTTTGTAAAAAAAAATTTATATACATATAAAAGCCCGCCGAGCCCTAGATCTACAAAACAAGGCACGCTTCGGAGTAGTAACACTACTACCATCTCGATGCTTACAATTATAGTTGCCAATTATCCGAATATTTATCTAAAATCTGAAGATACAATACTCCGTCCACCGGAAATGTTTAAACAGTACGCGGCAAAGCGATATCAATAGTGACAGACGGGCCAGTTGGTGCATGACTAACTTTGACAAAATGCGCCGCATGAACCAAGACAGAATAAGTAAGGCAACACGAAGCGCTACTTTCAACTGAATGTTTATTGAAACAACACACTATTTATACACCCAATCGGGCTTCTGAAGCAAGAATTCCAATTCCTTGTCTATTAGATGCACTGACTAATGCAAAAAAAGAAAAAAAAAAAAGCGATATTGCCCGAGCTCATTCTCACGGCGCATCTGAAGTCCAGGAAGTCGCATTTTCGAGTCGTAACGACCGCTAGATGCGTCAACTCTGCACTAAACACCGAAATGGCGGCGCCGGCAAGATAATCGGGGAGTGGGAGGGCCCATACTCTTCGGGCTGGTCCCCACTAAAGTCACTAAATCTGGGAAAGTACAGAGCCAAGCTCCCGGTATGCTCGCCAAACTTTGGTTCATGGAGTGAGCAGTTTCTTCTTGACCCCTCTATTCTTGGTGAGCCGATCCAGATTCACGACGGCAAATTGCTTCATGAAGACATTCCTTGAATTCCGAGATTTTGTGATCCACATACCGGCCAAACAAGCGCACATCTTTGCATCGCGACCAGATGCGGCGTCGGTGCTTGGCGACATCAAACATATATATATATATCTATATTTCGTGTCTTGGAATCAGTGTTGTACCGAACGGCGTTCCAAGGAACGACGTTTCTGGAGCGAGTTCCTTATAGGAGAAACGAAAGAACGCCGCCGTTCCATTTTGCATCGGTGGGAATGGAACGGGAACTCGTTACATTTTTACGGGAACAGAAGAAGGAAAGGCGGTCCTTTTTATTCTTCTAGAGGGGTAATTTTTATTTTATTTCTAAGAGGGGAATTCTAAAAAGAGTTAAAAATATATGTCAACTTAGAGCAGGATCTTTTAAACTTTTTTGTTACTTAGGGTTTATTTTGTGGAGTCCTCGCTTGGTAACAGTCGGCTGCAGGAGAGATGGTGGGCATTGATTCTCTCTTCAGTGCCCAAAACTGCGGTACAGAAATGAAAACATGTAGTCGAAGGAAAATACAGAAAGAGGTCATGTCAAATTGAGCTACTTTCTTTGCTTCGACAAATCCTCATACACCCAGAAATCAAAGGCTGACTACAGCCGTCACTGAACTTCCACAAAGAGACCTACAGTTACAACAAAAATACAGGTTGCCAGACATCAAACGCACCCTTTCATCTCAAACATTAGCCAGATGCACAAAAATTAACCTTCATTCCTTTTCCTCTTTCCCCACCTTCAAACTGAACAACGAATCAAACCTTCACGAAGAACTGGTAGTTTTCAAGACTGACCTTCCAAATTCAAAAGTCGTACCCTCTTTTCAGCTTGCTCGTATCGCGGACAGCAACATTGAGAAACAACTGTTGTTAAGTTCGAAGAGAGGACTTTGTTAAATTGAATCTTGTGAGGTTGTAAAAGTCTCGTACAATGTGGGGTAACAGGCTTGTCTGCATCGCCCACCATAAGCATAAATATGACAAAACGCTGAGATTTTCAAAAGTGAATAACAAATGAAACCTTGCTTCCGCTTGTTTTCTTCTCCTGGTATCCTTCCATCACGACATTCAAATATGTATGTTCCCATTTGATGGGATAGATAATATAAAGAGAACTTCGTTTGATCTAATTAATTATGGTAATTAGCAAAATACAAATGTAACGTACATGCTACTAAACGCTCCTTTTTTTTTACTGTAACTGGAACGAGTTCCTTTCTCACAGATAGAACTTGTAACAGGAACGCGTTCCAAAAAATCAAAAGGAACAAGGAAGGAGCTTCCGCTCCTCTTTTTGGGGAACGTTTACAACGCTGCTTGGAATGCGCAAGAACAACATTAAAATTGTAAGAGTTTTGCGAAGATGATCATGATTGATAACTTGATTGCATGCGCAGTACCAAATACGCTCATATTGACCAGGATTAGCTTTCAGTACGATGATGCTCCATAGCGATCATGGTTCAGAACGACCCTTTCGAAGCTTCGAAGATTTGAATGGACCGAAATGGCGATTGCCATAGTAAGTGAGATCGATCAGTCAATCATGTTGCGAGGTTTGGTCATCTGTATGTTGGTATCTGTTTGTGTCCGGCCAGCAGGCAGAAAAGGCACTGGCGCTTCTTTCGCAAGATCCGATGACTTTAGCTGTACCGAACCGCACTCGCACCTGGAGGCATGAACGCGCGTGAAGCTCACAAGAGACCAAAAAGAAATCATTAGGTTTTATAAAATAACCACTTGTCATCACCCTGCGGAGACTACAGGGAGAATGAACCACCATCGAGGCATCCAGTTGCCCACGCACGCGGACCCAAGCACGACACTAATGTTGATGGATCTGCCCCAGCCCATACGACGCCTCTCTGCCGCCGCAATTGCTCAACGTAATGAATGGAAATGTGGGCATCGGCTAATCCGTCCATTCTGTAAAACGTTTCAGGGGTGCCACCCCATCAGTTTGTACGCGTCAGAAGGACGACTGGTCGACTAATCACTCACCTCCTCTCCGAATTACGGAAGGTCTGTACGTGCGAACGCTGCGAGAAATTGGCCGAGTCGTCGAACGGCAATGTTATTTCCAGAACATTTTTTCTCGGACCTAGGTGTTCTTTGGAGAGAACGGCTGCCTACTCCCAACATTCCTCGTCGCATTAAAGGTCAGCCAACGTAAGCGGCATACCAGCGGAACAAACAATACCACCAACAAAAAGTTGGAGAAGAAGAGGGACACACGCGAAATGCATCGTCAAAAAGAAGAAAGAAAAAAAAAAAAAAAAAGAAGGCAAAAAGTACGGGAACACACCTATTGAAATAGCCACAGTAATTTCGAGGCGTGCATACAACCAGCGCATTCTTTTGCTGCTATGCTCTTTTTTTGGTCTTGTCCTGGTACAGAGATCCACAGACGGACGCGCGGAGGAGGGAAACCACGGCATTGCGTCGTGGTACGCTGTCGAAGAACGACCGGACCAGCGTACTTTTTTATTTTTCTTATTTGGTCTCTTTCTTCCGAGTCTTGTTGCAGGCCTTTGTTGTTTGAGGATGTTTAGGCTTAACCGCGGAAGTATGGCGTCCTTTCCCGTCATCCTCCTCGTCCTTCTCTCCACCGTGTCTCGCCCTCCGCTGATTTATCGCGGACCGTGTCGAATCGATTGCGGGGCTCAGAAAGTCACCTGGGACTGCCGGTGGCGGCCGCAACAGCCGAGCGGCCAAAAAAAAAAACCGACCGGCGGGACCCCCCTCCCCCCTCTGCACGTTCCTATGCAGACACTATAGAAATCCACTCCTGTGATTCGTTGAACTGCGGACACGTTTTTCGAGTGTGCCGTCTTCATTTTGTCTGTCTTTCAACATTTGTTTTTGAACGAGATTCAAACGTCGCGCCCCTAGTGGCTAAGTTTAGAACTAAAGCCGTGGGGATGGCAACATGGACTATTTGTAGGGTTATGGGAATTCGCCACTTTCAACGATGGTGGTACCACGGTGTGGGGATCGCGCACTCTAGCTCCTGAATGATCGGCTTCCGAATGAAGGTATTTGCTTACCCCTTCCTGACGTGGAAATATCAGCTACGTACGACTCTTATGTTGCTCGTATTTTAAAATTAGAATTACTTGCGCGTTGCAGACCCAACCTCGTACTGCAGTTCCATGGCGATCATCCATAAGACAACCATTTTGATAGGAACTAGCGTTGCGATATGTTTGGTCAATCATAGCATTCAGAATGCTAGAAGGATGCACGAATGCCGGCTCGCGCTTTGCAGAGTTGAAGCTAGGGATGACTTTGCGCTATTCGATTTGAAGCACTATTCGCCCATTTTGGCGTTTTTGACGCAGCTCTGGGCTGATGTACCGAACGCTGCGGCAGCATATAGGCCTATTGCGCTAAAGCTTCGAGCCAGCGCACCAGCTGACTCAAACCGTGTCTCAAGACGCCCGCGCGCCCCATCCTTTCCAGTGCTTTTTTTCACTCAGTCTCAGCTGAGACGCTATAGCAGGGGTGGCCAAGCTGCGGCTCGCGAGCCGCATGCGGCTCTTCGTGTGTTAAAGTGCGGCTCGCGGCTACCTCCCCTACCCCTACCCCTGCCCCTACCCCCCCCCCCCCCAACACACACACACACACACACACACTCCCTCCCTCCCGGTCACACGAGCACTTCCCCAAAAAGAGAAATGGAACGCGTTTTAAATCGAAAGACAGGTTGCCGTTCTTTAGTCTTGTGCTACTGCTACCTTACGTACGGTTGGACTGCTTTTGACTCGGATAGATTGAAAGTAGTTCGAGTTTCGGTTATTGCTCTGAACAAAAGTTTGCGACCCCCCCCCCCCTCCCCCCCCCCCACCCCCCCCGTGGCTCTTGGAAGTTTAGTGGTTTTGTATGCGGCTCTTAGGCCGGGTCAGCCTGGCCACCGTTGCGCTATAGTATTCACTGGCGGGCATAGCTGTGTGCGCGAATGCTGAGCGCGTGCTGATGGCGAGCTTCCACAGTTCTTTTGCAACGTGCATTCCGCACCATCAAGAGTGCCGGTCTTAGCAGCCTATTAATGTGAGCTCGTTCTCAGCATGCGCTCTAAACAGCACCCACAAATATGGCGCCCAGTGAATACCCCCTATACTTCGTTTCAGCTTAAGTCCAGACGCAGCCGATGCTGCAAGCGCGAGCTCCGGGTTTTCAGCGTCCCTGCCAAGCACGCGCGCTCGTGCAGTGCAAGCAATGTTCAGGGCCACATGCTCGCGTTCGTGGTATCGGCTGCGTCTGGACTTGAAGGGGCAATGCAACGATTTTGTACTTTACGCAAATACCGCTTAAAACGAATTCCTTATACGTTAATGACCTGTGACCATGATTTTAAGCCACAGGATGGGTAAGTGTCGTTACTCTGAGGCGTAGCTTATTTAGTGACGCTAGTCCTGGCTATGCTTATTGAGGAGTTGGAGTACGGCCGGCGGCGTCCCACACCTGTGGGACTCCGCCGGCCGTACTCCAACTATGATACCGCAGAAGTTGTGTTATGATACCGCAGAAGACTCGCGCACGCGCAGTTCGTATACCGATATCGGATGTGCGAAAACGGTTCCCTAGAGAATTATCGGCAGACACAAATGAAGCGTGTTCGATGGCACGTTCGCTTCGCACATACGTGCGTGCTTCGATCATGTCTGCGGACAGTTCTGTCTGTGTGACCAATGTGGCAGAACTGACATACAGGGAAAATGATGCGTCCCAGACAGTGGGCTTAGCCGATTTACCTACACCTCCTGCACCAGCTGCACTCGGTGCACACCGCCGTATATACTATATTTGCTGTACCAGATCATCCTATTTGAAAACACAACCGGAACGTTTCCCTGCACTTTGCTGCACCGCGCTACACTCTCTTGCACTGGTGAAGGCGTGGTGCAGGTAAACTGAACAAGACGTTCTGCAGGCTGTATTTTGTCTGATGTGTCAGCAGCATGGCCAGGGCTTTAGGCCGTCAGTGACTACCGCTGTGACTATATGTAGTGTGTGCCCACGTGACGAAGCCTCGCTCACCCGCGGTGAGGTCTGCCATGAGGTCCGGTGCCCGGAGCACGGAGGAGCAGTTCCATCGGCGGTCCCGGAAGGTCTCTTGGCAGGCGTCGACGGCCAGCTGCGACGCCTCGACCACGTGAGGCATGGCGCCCAGACGGGCCCGGCACAAGCGCACTTGTCGCGCGTGTAGTCCGTGCAGCTGCCGGGCGTGCTGGCAGTCCAGGCTCACGTTCCAGGACAGTCGACACGACGACAGGGCTCTGCGGGAAGGCGGAGTGGGACACGATCAAGTCAAGTCAAAATGTGTTTTTATTCGTAAACAAGATGTTAGTTAATTATACTTATTCAGACGGGAGTCCAAAAGTTTTCAAAGAAAACTGTTGAAGGGACGCTATGTTTATCAGTACGCAACCCACAGTAATAATCATATCTTCCCCCCCCCCCCCCCCCCCCCTTTTCCTTAACAAAAATGACGTTTGTGTTTGGACAGCGTAAGGTTGGTCTGCCTTTGAGGTGCAGCGACACGGTTTAGGGGAGAATTGTAGGCAGTGTCATAGCCTCCTCTATTCTGACAAAGCCTGGCAGTTCGCCACGAGAAGCGACCGTTGAAGGTGAAAAGGTAGAGCGGCAGACAACGGATAAGAGGAGAGCCACGTGACGGGCACACCGCTGCGGCGAGACGCCGAAACACACTTCTCCCGAGCGATGGAATGTCCGTTTGTGCTTTTTGCGTTCCTCGCGCTACCGCTTTTTTTCTCGTCGGGTTTGAAAACCATGTTTCGCGTCCTCGCCGCTGCAAAAGCTGTGCGCTGAATACCAGAAATACTCTCTGCTACCAGATCCTTGCGCTCCAAATCTGCGACCGGGCACTCTATGGCTTCCTCATCGAAGTGCTAGGCTTTGTGAGTATAATATAATTGGGTTGTGCGTGTGTTTATACAGCCTAGAACTTTGTCTGCCTCAACGGGCGACGAGCCTCCCAGCTGTAGATGAGCAATTTGGCCAGTGCGGTACAATCGCTAGCCTGGGGTTTTTAACGTGCACCACGCAGTAGTGATACACGACCGCACGCCGGTATGATGCTCATCTAGATCGAAACGGGCAGGGTTTGGGGATTGAGCCCAGCATCCTGGGCTCTGCAGCGCGAGCTTTCGCTCCACGTGCACCGAGCTGGTGTGCGCTAGCCATTCGGCCACCGATCCCCCCCCTCCGGCTTTGTGAGTATAGGGGAGGCTATGCCAGTGCAGTACGACAGCTAACTGGTAGGTCTTTAAGGTGCATCGCGCAGTAATGAAACATGACCGCACGCAGATTCATCCAGATCGAAACGGGCATGGTATGTGTGTGTAAAACGCTCGTTGCAAGCTTGGAGTCATCTTATTTTTAAACCAATACCATCAAAGTTTGCAGTCCGATAGTGAGCGCTTGGCCAATCCCGGAAGACCGACCGCAGCAACGCTTTTGGTCGCGCACGTTGCCAATAGACCTTGTTAAAAGTCACGTGGCTTAAAAAAAAAAATGACCTATGGTGGCAGAACAATCGACACCGCGGAACGTTCAAGTAGCGCGAGAGGGAAGCTTTGACCCTTGCTCCCTTGCACGAATGCTCGTGCAGCCGAGGCGCAATCGAAAGCGGTGAGCTCGCACCAACTTTGGCTCGCACACCACGTTAGTATAGATCAAAGTTAGTTGACAACTTAAGCTTCCCAGAACGACTGGCGCCTTTTCGTGGTGCGTCCGCTCGGTGGCGCTCGCTACGCTGTCAGCCTAAAGCCCCTCGATGTGCTTGCGTTTGTCTTTCAAGTAGCGTCGAAGCATGTTAAAGGCGTCAGTGCACGAGTCCCGTGTTTTGAGCGGCCCTTGGTAAAGCCCCTTCATGTTTCAAAAGTAGCGCAAGGTGCGTTGATGCACGAGACACGTGCCTTGTGTGAACGGCGCTCCATACACTTGCACGATTGACCGAGACAAGACCGGTTTTTAAGTCAATTGCAACGTCTTAAGCGCCGTTCATTTATTTGCAACCGAGTGCGACCGAGAGAGAAAAGACCGGTTTTAAGACTCTGGGACGTCTTAGGGCCGGATGCGATGCTGCGAAGCTGGTCCTAAAGGCTCGTTCACACTCTTGCAACCGTTGCTTGCAACCGAGTACGACCGAGAGAGACAAGACCGGTTTTTAATCACGTTACGACGTCTTAGGACCAGCTCCGCAGCAGCGCACCCGGTCTTAAGACGTCGCAAGAGGATTAAAAACAGGTCTTTTCTCTCTCGGTCGTACTCGGTTGCATGTGTGTGAAAGGTGGAGAGAGGTTGGGAGAGGACGAGCATAGATCAGAAGTGGATACTATATGGGTAGCAATGAACTGGAGTGTATATATATATCTATATATATATGTACAGAACAGCACCTGAGATTCTGAGATCGATCCAAGCGCTTGATTGCCTAGTTTCTTTCCGCTCTCCGGGGGGGCGGGGGTCCCGTCGCGCGTGCCCAGTTTACTCCGCCTTTTGGGGCGGCGGTAGTTCGCACCTTTGTCCAAACTATGCTGTCACGTCTGTGTCGTGAGCTAAACAGCTTCGCTGGTCATCCACCTAAACAAAGTGGAATGGCTCATGATTTTTTATACAATTTTCTTGTTTGCGCTTGAAGAACATTTAGGAAATCCCTGTATTGGAAAGGAGATTGAGAAAGTGGCGCTCCCTAGCGGCCACCTCGGGAACTAACGCTGTGTGGCCATGGTGTGGCAAACAAACCCTCCGACGACAGTCACTAGTGCATTCGCTGCCATTGAGGACGACGACGCAAGTCTCGTGAAAAATATGTAACACTATTATTTTTTCCTAAACGCATCTAGACAGACGTAATTCAGTCATTTCTTGCGTTCATGTCATCGAAGTCCTCTCGGAAGGCAAAACAAGCGCATGTGTGTTACGCGCGTGCGCGCAGTGCTAGCCGCGACGTGTCAGCCGTGCACGCATGGTTCGTGCGTGGCCGGCGCTGCGTCCGTGTTTTTCTGAATGCTTCAGAAGACACGCACTTCACTTGTCAGTTACCCTCTTCCGTGTTCAGCTGATCTGATTGCCAACAGTTACCCTGTCTCTTGCTACAATCATGGACGACATCAGCGAAAGCAAGCGGTGTCTCGTTGAAGGAGAGGACGTGCTCAGTTGCGATCATGTCATCGAGTGCAGCGTTGCACCAGAGCCGATGGCGGACAGTGTCCGCATCGTCGGGCTGCAGTTGAGTTGAGAAAATGTCTTTATTTAATGCCATGCATGGCTCCTCTTGCATTGATGGCAAAAAGGAAAAAAACAAAAAACAAGAAACAAAAAAACGTACACAGCAGCGTTTGAGAGCGTCAGACGGCCGTTTCACCATGCAACGCTCCCAAACATCGCCAAACGCTCCAAACCGCGACCGTGCAATGGGACTATCAAAGGGACTTCGCAGTCACCGATAGCCATCGGGACATGAGCCCCGCTGGTCCGCCGTCCGCGTAGAAGAAGCTGCAGAGCTGGTTCACGGGAGCCGCACTGCCGCGGCGGCTTATCCGGTGAGATCACCCAGCCCTCAAAGGTTTTAGGTGGGTCTACTACAGGAATGTCAGACAAGGTCTCGAAGCGAGCCGCAGCGTGCTCGGTACAGGGCCGGCAGCATAAAGCCTGGTTCAGACAGTTGCGTTTGACTGCGTTGCGGCTGCGAGAAACCAGGACATTCCTGCTGCTTGTATCGCGTGCCAAGATGATTCCTTGAATTGGATTCCACGCTTCATACGAAGCACAGATGTGCCGGTGACCCACTTTTGGTTCTCGACGCAATGCAGTCAAACGTACTTAATCGCAAGTGTCTGAACCGGCCTTACCGCTCATTCACACTGGAAGCGGATCCGCGTACGGAAAGCGGTTGCGAACGCGATTGTATAAAGATCTAGTACAATTGCACGCGCACTCGATGACATTAAGTGCGCGCGAAATTGTACTGGATCTTCATACAACCGCGTTCGCATTCGCAACCGCTTTGCGAACGCGGATCCGCTTCCAGTGTGAATGAGCGGTTAAAGGGGCGATGCAACAATTTTTGTACTTTGCGCAAATACCACTTAGAACGGATCGCTGACCTATGAAACACGCGTTCGTTTTTCACCCCACGCAATAGAAGTCCCAGGAAAAAATTAAAGAAAAACGAGCGGCGTTCACCCCCTCAACTCGCAGCCAGAACAAGCGGCCACGTGAACTGAAGCCGATTATATGTCGCCAACGTAGATCATAGCCACGCGCTGAGGTTGGCAAAGCACAGGGCACGCGCTGAGTTCCAGACATTGTTATGGCTCGGCTATTGTCGTCGTTGCAGCGATTGGACACGGGCCACTACCCGAATACTTCTCGAGCTAGTAATTATCACGAGCCCAAATCGAGGGCCCACGCCATGCTCGGGTCCAATCCATGAACAGCATTCAAATATCGTCATATGGGTGTACTGCGATCCCCACGTTACGTCATGAAATTTGGCAAAGGAGAGATTGAATGTAAATGATCGCTTTTGTCCTTGAAATTACACCGCAACAAAGGAGTTTCTTGGCCAGCGGAGTTGCGTGCGAGTATCCTCTACGCCCACTAGTGCCAGTATAAGCTCGTGTATAGTGAAAAACATTCCAGCTGAATATCGTTGCACAGCTCCTTTAAGGGTGTTAGTGGCGGTACGGCGGACGAGAGTCTGGGGCTTCTGGCTCACTCCTGCTGGCATAGAGGGCATCATTCTATTGAGCCTGTTGAAAAGAAAGGCCGCAGTCCTCACGTTGTGGAGTATTTTCTTTCGCTCAAACTTGGCGAGCGCGGCTCTTTCAGTGAGGTCCGGTTGAGTGTCGTCGCCTCGTCGAGGTTGCGAAGGATCGAAATGGGGCCCGCTGTAGCTGGTGGGTACGATTGGCGCGGAAGGTTTGCTTAGTGCTGCACGCGTCTCGCATGGGCCCATTCGTTTCCCCGAATACTCGAGTGGGCCCTCCGCGTGGCATATACCCGGCTTAAAAGGATGCTTCGAGCACTATGGTACGCTGTGAGTGCGCACCATATCGCTACAAACAAATAACCAGCGATCACGGAAACGATGCATGCGCTAAGCGAATGCTGGCGTCGGAGTTGTTTGCCACCCAGCGATTGCTTGTGATGATGATGATAATGAAACTGCGCCCTCTATAGTTCCATCTCCTCGTCAATAACAAAGATGGTATTCGACACGCTCTACTCACAGCCACTCGATGCCACGGGCTTGTCGAACCAGCAGAAATGCGAAGAAGGCGGCTAGGGCCCTCCACATACAGCGACCCATGAGTGTCAAGCTGAGAGCAACCTCTCAGCCTCGCTGGCGCCTTCAACGTTGCGTCGATCGGTGCTGAGGCGCCATCGTCGTCTCCGGGAAGTCCGGGGCACGGGTTGGACCTGGGAGAGATCAGGTAGTAGATATCAACGTGAAGGCATAATATTTATTTCTTCATTTATTTATTTATAATACCCTCAGGGCCACACGCGGCGTTACAGAGGGGAGTGGGTTTACATGAAGTAGTTGGTGATGGCGTCCCGAAATCTTCCACTGTCGGTGATGCCGATGAGGTTCTCGGGGAGGTCATTCCAGTCCACAATCGCAGATGGTAAGAGCGCCTTCTGGTGTGCGAGGGTGAAGCCTTGTGGGCGGGCGATCTTACAAGGATGGTCAATTCTAGCCGAGATGTATGATGGGGGGTTGAAGAGAGATCGTCTAAGGATGGGCGTATAAAATACCTTGTGAAGAAGACAAAGGCGAGAGATCCTACGACGTGAAGATAATAGCTGAAGGTCAAGGTGAGCTTTCATTAACGAGACACTCGAAAAACGGGAATAATCAGAAAAAAATGAAGCGTGCAGCACGGCTCTGAACAGATTCAATTAAATCAGTTAGCGTTGATTGATGAGGATGCCAAATTGATGACGCATATTCTAATTTGGGACGGACAAGAACAACGTACAGGAGGCGCTTAAGGCTATTGGGAACAGATCTAAAATTTCGACGGATGTAGCCTAAACTTCGATTAGCAGATTGTACAATGTTGTTAATATGAGTATTCCAAGAGAGGTTAGGTGAAAGATGCACGCCGAGGTATTTATAGTGGTCTGTATATTCGAGTATAGTCCCATCCAAAAGTAGCGTAGGATTAGTTTCTGCTAATGAATTAGAAAAACGCATGCACTTACATTTGTTAGTATTGAGAGACATTTTCCAATTCTGGCACCAGTCGGTTATTTTGAGAAGGTCAGCTTGCAAAATTAGAAGGTCATCTTGAGTAGTCATCTTACGGTAAACAACGCAATCGTCAGCAAATAGGCGAATAACAGAGGTGATACGCAATGGGAGGTCGTTAATATACCAAGAATTTGAGAGCAAAAAGACAATCGTGCTTTTCTTACCTCGAGAATAAACTGCGGCCAATCAAGCAACGTCAAAAGCACGAATCACTAGGCCTCTCTGTTTCATTTTTTTTGTGTAATTGGTTCAGGGGTGATAGAACACCTACAGAAACATAAGGAACACCATGATGGTGCTCTTTTGACGCTCTCTGATTGGCTCGTTGCGTCGGCTGCGTCTAGGCTATAAATGAAACGAAGTTTCATGAGCAGAAGTTTAGGACTTCTACCGTTGTCTGACTCAAAGGATATGAGCGATTTTCAGTAAATATTTAACGAGAAAATGGCAGCCAACGAAGTCGCCGTATACATATAGGTGAAGGTTTCTGATCAGGGAAGGAGCTGCTTTGCTAACTGAAAATTCTCAGAAATCTCTTATACAACTTTTTAGTTCGATAAGGGCAAGTCCCGAAACTTTGGCATCTAGCCACGCCGCTAGAACTGTACAGTTGGGCGGAAACTTTGCTGTTCGACGGTGCGAAGTTTATTTTTTGCGTTCGTAGAAACAGGGTTCGCTTTTCTTCGAAACACCCTATATTGCATAGTAGTAGATATAAACACGGTAGACCTATTTGTACTACAGCATTTGTGAGAGCGCAAACACCACGTTAAGTTCATTATTGGTTGAGTGCAGTGATAGCTGGCAGTTCTTGAACTGTTTACATCGTGCATTATAGTAGTTAGAGCGGCAGACGTTTTTCAAAAAGTCGATGTATATTTGCTTTCTGTTTTTGCACTTTGCCCCTATACTATTAACGAATTAATTGGCATAAATATGCTGAACTGAAGTTAACACACTTAACGTTGGTGTGACGTGCATGGGAAGTTTTATTACCTGGGGTGACGTCATCGCAATGTTTAGTTTAACACTCTGTTAAAAAAAAAAATCAGTTAATGTCATTTTCGACCAATGAGATTCGCCCCGAATGTCACTGGCGCGTTCTATTCCAGGCGGGGATATATAGCGAAATGACCTGAAAATGACGTTCGCTACACGACGGTGGCTACTGACTGCATGTTCCCTTTGTAGCAGTCGGTGATCGACGAGCCATTGTTCAGGTCTTTTGACCTGGACAATGGCGCAGATATGGTGGCTTACAGTTTAGGAAACGCAGCGCGTCAGAAGTATATCAAGTATCTTCTTATCGGTCCGCAGTTAATTTAGTTGCGACATTTACCAAGAAGAGCGCCCAAGCACAATTCATGAATCAATGAGCGTGAACATTATGAGCCGCAGCCTGCGTTTAAGCCGTCAGTTACTACAGATGTTCAAGCACAACGCAATCCAAATCATTAATCAATTGACAAGCATGAATCCTCAAATTGAAACAGAAACTAAAAAAAAAAGAAAAGAAAATAAACATTGCGAAAGACGTATGTATAGATCGCCCTAAATATTCCGTTATCAATTTGTACATAGCATAGAAAGGAACTTTCTGCTTTATAGTAAGTGATCTATGTTTAAACTCGAGTGCATATGCGAGTAACTATACAACAACAAACAAACACAGTTCTCTGGTTTACCAGCATCCGGCTAAGGTACTCCTCTCCAGAAGTTGACAGGCAGCTCAAGTTCGCTTCTTTTGTTGTGCCAGAAATGCTACTGTTGTCAAGGACAACTCTTGATTGTCCGACACGTTGTTTAGATGTGACTGGACGTTTAGGTACGATGACGTTCCGTACAAAGGTTCCTTTAGGGGCACACGCACGGTGTATACAGCCCCTGACCTAACTGGAATACCGGAGCGAGCTCTAATTTAATAAAATGGGAGCCTATATTAGTATTTGAACATATTTATGCGAATTGAAGATAAAACAGAAAGATGCACGGGGACATAAAGCCAAATAACTCGCCAGTGTAATCACTGACATGATGAGAATGGCAGGGCGTATCTGTCGATAGTCCGGCCTCCAACACGCGTTCCATGCCTTCCACCGTGCTCCGTGCCTTCCACCGTGCACTAGACGCCGAAACGTTGTCGAAAGTAGGAAGCCCGCGCTGGAGACGCGGGACAATTGAAGCTTCTCCCTACCGTTCTCGGCTTGTCAGTGACTACAACGCGAAATTCTCGTTCCAACGCATAGAAACAGACCAAAACGTAAAAGAGCAGGCTTTGCATTTCTTCCATTTAAGTATGGTCGCGATTGTACTAGTCGACTATCCATGGTGGACTTGGACATCTTATATTTGTCAATGCCTGTGTCCCACTAGAGCGACAAACAGAAACAAAAACGACGGCGACAAACCTCAAACCCATGCAGCACGCTCGCGATGGTACCTCTGGCAGGCGTTTAGTCGTTCGTTGGAGTGATTGCGAGCCTGCCGAAGATACCCTCGCGTGCAAGGCTCGTGCTTGAGCATAGACTCCTTTATTGGCATAAGGAAGAAAGGGAAAAACAATTATCGTAATAAAACGGCAGTGCTTTCTTCATTCTAACATGTTCCAGCTTATCTTTCTTCTTTGGTTTTAACGATTCAAGACCCTCCATTTTCGCAACGCTCTATCAATCTATCTGTTTACTTTCTACACGTATTGGGATGCGAATCACTGACAGCATAAAAAAAATGACCGCATCTCCACGTGGTGAATGATGTTGATTTTGGCGAAGCTCTGGTGGTGCTGATGATACCGATTTTGTTCATAGGTAGTGATCATGGTGCTGATTTTTTTCAGCAACGCTTTCATGCATGCAACGTTTCATCCATGACATCCCTAGCCCTTCAGTTACTGCCACATCTCAGAGCCCCCTACTCGTCCCGCAGTCGTGGCCGAGTGGTTAAGGCGATGGACTAGAAATCCATTGGAGTCTCCCCGCACAGGTTCGCATCCTGTCGACTGCGCAAACATTTTTGTTTCTTCCTTTAAGAAGACAGATGGGATGGCAGTTGATGTGAGCACGGACACCGGACGGACAAGGCAAGACCCTAAGGAGATTAGCCCCTAAAACGACTGGGAGGTATCTCAGTTCTCCCGCCTCCAGCGCGAGCTTTCTACCAAATCGATAGCACTTCCGCGTCTTCTGAGCTTCCAACATGCACGCGCATTCAAAGCGCGACAGTAGGCAACTCGTCAAGCACGAAGTTGGGGCCGAAGTTGACGGAGGGCGCCGATTGGTTTATCATGACGATGACTTCGCGCTTTTTTCACCGACGTCCAATCGGCGCACTGCGCGAACCTTTGGGTTGAATTTTGTGTTTGACGAGTTTGGGGCGCCGGATGCTCGGCATCCAAAGGAGGTGCTCTGCACTTCTTGTCTTGTCAGCGGTTCGGGAGGTCTTGGCAGGAACTGAGCGTGAGCGCGTCACGAGCGAACTTGAGCACTTCGCTTGAAAGGACGTTGGAACCGCTTGCATTTACCGAGGGAAATACTGATCCCCAAGCTTACACGGAGTCCAAAATATTTTCTGTTCGCGACTCCCGTAGGCCGTTTTGTTTTCTCTGAGGGAATTTTGTTCTACACGTGAAAAAAGATATTTCACGATGGCCTCCAGAACATCAAGCTCGTCGCTCTCGAACGAACCTAACTCAAGTTCGAAGCACGCTTGTAAGCTTTGTGTGCTTATCGAAGTGCGCAGGTTCACCGATTCCTGAAAGGAGTTCGCTCTAAAGGTCATTAACGTGCACGTAAAACAGGGGTATAAAGCACGTACACATATATCGGGTTTCAAACAGTTTTCTACAGCGCAAAAAAAGTTAAGAGAGGCACGATGCCATAGCTTTAGACAATGTCTTTTTTTTTTTTTAATCTTGTACGGACACTTTCTTTTTACACGCGTCTTTGCTAGAGCGCTGCACGCAGCTTGTAAAAGTAAGCTAGCGTGAGCTCTTACATTCTCTCAAGAGCTATAAGGGTATCAAGCGTGAGCTCACTGCCAGCCCGCGCTCCATTGCGCAACAGGGACAACTATATGGCTGCCAATGAACACAACCAAACGGTAGTAGAATCAAGGCCACCGGATAACACGCAGAGATCAGGCAAGCTGCAGGTCTTCTGAGATTTTTTTTTTTTACAAAATCGGACTTCAAACTTGCAAGCCCTTCTTTAGAAAAACATGCAAGTTTGAAGTCGATTTTCTAAAACAAAACGCCTTTTATTTCTTTCATTTTTTAATTACAGTTAGGTAATATAGTTATCTGTCAGGACCTACCAACAGAAATTGTAATATATTGTTTGTATGGCGGCTTTTAGGACTCGAATCTCGTGCTGTGAGAGTTTTGAACGGGACTTGGCATAGACGCTCAGCTTAGCAGAATTTTGACCTATGTAAGGTTTTCTATTTAATGTTGGTACTTACCTCAATATCTGAGCGTAAAAGCCAGTGAGCCAACAATATTTATCCGAAGAATACTTATTTACTTGGCACTGGCGTGATTTGCAAGGTGTGTGAGCTTCGCCCTGTGTATTGACGGAGAAGATACGTAACACCTAGACTCCCGGACAAACTTTAGTCAAGAGGAAAAAGTCTAAGTAACCCGGCATGAATCACTGAAAATAGATATGAAACCTAAACACATGACTAACACGTTGGAAGCCTTACAAGCTACGAAATGCTTGTTGTTTTACGAAAGAGTCTGTACGCTCACGAAATAAACCGTACTTCCTAAGCGTCTGGTACTAAATCGTACATATGTATATGCACTGCATATCTGTTTGAAATAAGAAAATATGACAATTACATGTCAAGTTCGGTATTTCAAACTCAAAGCCGAAAGCAAAAGGCCCCAGAGGAGTTCTCTAACGATCTGCATTTCCCCCGTATTGAGAGGAAGCGCCGGTGCCCGCACTTGTGAATACTGATTTCGAAGTAAATTTTTTTTAAGTACACTACTCCAAATTTTATTAATGTTTATGGTTGGATATTGAGGTAACTGCTAACGATAAATCGAAAACCTTACATAGGCCAAAATTCTGCCCAGCAGAGCGCCTGTGCGAAGTCCCGTTCAAAACGCTCATAGCACGAGGTTCGAGTCTTAATAGCGGCCATACAAAAAAAAAAAAAAATATTACAACTTCTGTTGGTATTTTTTGATAGACTACTATATTAACTAACTGTGAATAAAAAATAAAAGGAATAAAAAGTGGGGTTTTTCAGAAAATCAACTCCAAACTTGCCAGTTCTTCGATATTGTCGTTTTTGAGGCACGTGTAGCGCATTATATACTTATTGGAAAATATTGAATTCATATTCAAAAGAAAGAACGTAATTAGAGCTTTACGGTGATATAAATATCATAAAGATATGTTGATTAGGTCACACAGCACAGCTTGCTGAACTTCGTAAAATATCGTCGCAGAAAGGTAATTTGACAAATGAAAAAAAAAAAAACATTAAGAATGTTATGACCTAGAAGCTCAATTAGCACAAAAAAGCCTATGTCTAGAGTGTTCTCAAAATGTTATATTTATGTAGCGTAAAAAGTAAGGAAAAGGGGTGGAGTTAAATATGGCACCTCCGATAAGCTGGAAAAGCGTCAGTTTCCACCTTGGCCGCTTCAACGGTCCATAACTTGAGAACAAAAAATCCGACAAAAATTGCTGTTTGCGTCTCCGTTTATAATAGGAATCGCCCCAAAACATAAATATTTTTTCGTCAAAATTAAAAATTCGACCCCAAGTTTGTGTTTGAGTTGAGATGAAATCACCCATATACACTTGCTCGCAAACATTTCAAGTCGAAGTATTGTCATTTTGCCTCGCGATAATATAATCCACTAGATGCCGAACTCTAAACTTCACGGCATCGACAGCAGCACAAAAGTATCACAATGTATTACAAGGTCGCGTTGTCATATCAATAAAAGAAAATGATAAAGATCATGCGCAGCATATATAATCGGAAACCCTTACCGTTTTTATGAGTTCCTGCACCACGGGCTTGAGATCGGTGTACCTCAAGGCGTTAAGGTTACTGAAAACTGCACTTCACGGGCGGTCACACGAAGTTCTTGAAGTCACTATACTTTCTTTACTTCTCGTACCCTGATGGACTTGCAGTCTTCCGGGTCAAACGTGTCCTGGTGATTTTCCTAGACGTGTGTCGTACAATTCTCCAGATTGATCATCTATGTGCCCACTCCAACACACAAATTGAAAAAAAAAAGTCGGGATGATATAAACGAAATAACTTGCCCTCAAGTTACAATAAAGTACGCTAAAATATTGAAAAACGGCGCGTGTTACAGTTAGTACCACATCCGGAAATCTATCTCAAAGAACTTCAAGAGGACACTAAGGAGGACGCACTTTGAGAAGTCGAATGTCTCCGGACGACATGCTGGAGACAACACATGCCCCAACAGGACCACGCGATGCTGAGGATATAATCCCGCCGGACCTTCCTCTCGACAGGGTGCGTTCTCTGACGTGTCTGGATGAACAGTATCCTCAGACACGCGGCCAAAACCATGGACACCAGGAGATATCCTGACCTGGTAGGCGAAAAGACGTGGCACTTGCACCTTTTGCCACCAGCCAAACTAAACGAGGCGACCAGCAAAGGTGTCGTAAACGAGAAGGGGGGGGGGGGGGGGGGGGTAACGGTTCTCTCTCCACTTTTTTCTTTCTCACTCCCCAAGCAAACCTGAGGGACGTAAAGCGGTGTGGGAGGAGGAAAGGCTAATTTGCAGGCCGTGGGTGGTCGGGCCCGCCGGTGTTCCTTGCCGCCTCGGAGGCGCGAGGAGCACACACGTACGAACGATGCTGCGGTCTTTTCTGTACTCAGTTCGCCCCTTAGCGCACATTGCGGTGCAAGCTACATGCTCGTCGGACCAGTCATAGGTCTGCCTTTCGCCACGTGACCAGGCTCCCACCCCTTCCCCCTTGCAGGGAGCGTGGTCAGGTGATGAAAGGGGGGGGCGGCTGATTGATCCGGCGAGCGCGTAGCTCTCCACCGCACCGCCAGCGTAAAGGTGAACGGAGAATAGCGCGTGCATCGAGCATAGGCCCTGGTGCACTTTGAGGACGGGCCGGCACCGCCCCGTTGGAAGGATGCCATTGGGTCTTCGCTACGCGGATTTCCCCCCTCTCTTGACGGCTTCCTCTCCTCTGCTGGCTCCTGGTGAATCTTCGGCGCAGGAACCAAGAGAGAGCAGCAGCTTATAAAGTTTAGCGAGATCGGCGGGGCGTCGGCTGCCGCCGGCTCGCTGCTTCTTCCGCTGCTGGGCGGAGTTTTGGCCTTATATGCCGCTACGTTGCCGAGATGCGTGATTTCTCCGCGGTTCTCGTTGGTTGTCTTTTACCAGACTGTCTCGGCTGTTTCGAGATGAAAGATGCGGAAGAATATGAACTGCGCATATTTTTGAGTTGTGTCTAAAACACGGCTTGCACGTGCCGTCATTGCACCGAGCTAGTGTTCATTCCCGTTAGTTTTTTTTTATGACAAAAGCACATTTGGAGGTGCGAAATGTATGTCGCAGGAGGTACGTGCTCAGCAGCAAAACGACCGCTATGGCAGCTGACGTGACGTCAATGGAAGACGTATCAGTCTCATTACACCCAACGTTTTAGTCGTTCTATACATTTTTTTAGAAAAGATTGCATAACTGCGTTATGACTAAATTGATATACATCTGGGAATTCGGGAGGACCTGTTTTTGTCGGTAAAATATAAAAATACGTGTCAGTTTCTTTTTTTTATTATTACAAAAAAATGCTTTTTAGTTTATTGAGAGCAAACGGAGTTATAACTCTGACTTCAACTGAAGCTGTCTTTCGATAAAAATAAAATCTCATTTGTTATAACGCGGGGAGTCAGAATCTCTGTAAGGCGCATACGAATGAGAGGGTCGGAGGAACAGCCTTCGAGTGTTGTTCTTATGGTGCACTCATCCTGCATGACAGAAGTGGCGGTAGTATAACTGTAAAAGTACTTGTTGTTGGGCTAGTCGGTGATCACTGTTTTGAACCATGGTTAAAAGCGCTAAAAAGACGAACACAAGCTGTCTTCTCTCTTGTGTTTGTCTTTTTAGCGCTTTTAACCGTGGTTCGTGACAGCGGCGGTAGTATAGCGAGCAAAAAGCAGCGATATCCTTCCATAACACAAAACAAGAAATGGAGAGGCGATGGCGCCCAAGGAATGACTGCAGGCGCTGTGGCTGCGAGTATGAAGTTAGCTGCGAGCAAGACGTCGGTACATGTTTGTACAAGGGGAGTAGTCGCACGCATGCCGCGGTTTCGCGGGGCCGTGGATTCGCCAAAGGTGGTTCAACGCCGAGCTTCCGCTGACCTTCTGCCGCGGCGGCGACGCTTTGGCTGCCGCCTTGGCTTGTCAGAAGAAAGGCTTATGGTCGCTTTGACTGGAGGGGGACAGAGCTATGTTCCGATCACTCTTGAGCTGACAGTGTGGTGGAAACTACGCCCTCGCTGGCCCAATCAACCGCCTCCCTTTCGTCACCTGCCTTGGCTGTCTGGGCGACGGGGTGGGCGTCATCACGTGGCGAAAGACAGAGACTGATTCAACGAGGGCCAAAGCTTCCACCGCACTGTCAGCTTAGGGGTGAAGGGAACCATAGCGGGGATTGTCGCGTTGGAGTCGAACCGAAACTAAACCCGTTCCGCGGAGCTGGAACGTTGCTTTTGTCAATGGTGGCCTCTCTGCTTCGAACCGAAAGAAAGAAACCGTTTCTTTTTTTCTCTTTTCTTTTTTTCTGAAAACACAGTGGCCTTTTTGTCGATGTTTTTTTGTTGCCTTATCTGTTTGATTTTCACCATGAGAAATGACTGTGTACTTAAGTACTACATACAAGTCGATAAAGACGGTCCAACAAATCATTCATCCTTTGAAGATTAAACTGGGTACGAGCAAGACTTCTTTGACATTCGGGCATTTGTCAACTGCGAAAATTTAGTTTGTCTTCGCTTTTGTGTGCCAGGATAAACACGATAATAAACCGTACAAAAATATTAATAGATTTGTTCGCATCACAGATGGACGACGGAAAAGACAGCAAACTGGCTAATAGCAGATTATAATATACAGCAGAGATTTCTAGCAACACTGAGACTACCGAGTGGCAGGGGAAGCGGTGCAAAAGCATGCGATTGATAGTCGCCATGTTCGTGAGCAAAGCAGTAGCTTAAACGTCTCAACTAATGTTCAGTGTTTCTCCACTTTTTTTTTGTCCGTGTTCGCCCCAAAATTAGTGTTTAGATGTGCACCAGCTCACCGTATTGCAGCATTACTCCCAAAATATTTATATGTCTTAGCCTCACGCTTTGTGTGTTCATATATCGTGTCGTGCGAAACCTCGTCCTGCTGACGAACTTTGACTGCTGCTTATCCCATAGACTGGTCGCCATTTATTCTAGTAGCAAAGCATGCAACCTCGTCCGCGCTGCTTGCATGACCCCCGCTGGATGAGGGTACGAGGGCTTTCCATCGCTGCTGCCCTTCCCAGTCTGTGGGAGTATCGTACACCACCGTGGCAGTCGTGTAACCACGCACAAACTTTGCGATACATCTTTAAGCCGCACTCTAACACTGCTCGTACTGTTGCTGCGGCTCGAGCATGACCGCGACATGTTTGTTTCGTACATGCGTATCCTTCGAACATGTCATTCTGTATGACCAGTAACAGGACCATCATAAAAGAAAGGTAGATGGATGAATGTTAATGGCTATGCCCTTTGTAAAGGGCAGTAGCTTGCGCCACCTAGCCTAAGTCTAAAAAGACAAAACAAACACACCTCAGACGGTGTATCCAGACTGTCTTTTGTACGACGGTATTAGAAGTGTGACAGAGGTTTAAGGCCTCAGGTTCGTAGTCGCTCCACACTGGATAAATTGCTCCTGAGGCGCCGTGCGTCATTTCAAGGCTAACGAACTTCGCGCACTGTCTTACCTTATTAAAATAAATAAGTATATACTTGTCTGAGTGAGCGGCTTGATGACCAAGGCTAACTGCCTACAAATAACTGTGATATCATTTTTTAAATCTTTTTTTTTGGTGGGGGAGGGGTTATTTAATGTTAGAGCATATATTAATCATAGGAGACGCGCGTATGTCCGGCAGCTGTCTTGATGTCTTTGACTTTGGTTTGAGTCACCAAACGCAGACACTCACGTGCCTTTCGATCTCTTTTTTTTAATTTTTCAATTGTTTCTGTTGTTATAGAACACTGCGAATATAGCAGGCGCGTGCGTAGAGGGTGTTTGGCAGTATGCAGCTGACCGGCGTCCCCTACTATTATCGTGCTCTTCATCGTCATTATGTACCGTCGCACTTGCCTTCTCCTCTTTGTGACGCCAGTGTGAAGGAGCAGTTTCTTGCATTAAAGGGAAGATCGGGACACGCCCACGTGTGCTCGGTGCGAGGCACTCACACACGCACACGCGCTTCCGGTCGACATGGAACGGCGTGTCGAGGCCAAGCTCCGCGCGGGTTTCCGGCAGTGAGGGACCATCCGAGACCCTTCCACCAGCCTCCGCCCTTTCACTCGGTCAGTCGTTCGGAGGGGAACAGTTGAGTCAGCGAACTGTATTTTACGCATGTACGGCCGACGGCTGACTTCTACGAAAGGGCAAGAATGCAGGGACGCGTGCTTCGCTCCATTAGTCGTTCTGTTCGGTTCAACGGGTTATTATGCTTCAAAAGTATTCTATGTGGGGACTGGATGGATCGTGATCATCAACTAACGATTGAAGTTAACCCAATTAAGGCGCACACACGCACACACACACGCACACACACACGCACACACACACGCGCAGGCACGCACACACGCACATACGCACGCGCACACGCACGCAGGCACGCACTGACAAACAAAAACATGAAAACACGCACATAAGCACAGCACACACAGGAAAAAAAACAGGAAAATGTCTCAATAAGCCATTGTCTTATCGACGCAAATTGTCTCCCTTCTTGTGTCTTCCACTTAGTACTTTTCTTTTTAGTCTGAGGTCTTACCATCAGGATGAACTTTTATATTCCCGCCTGCACTTTGGCTGTTCTTTTTGTTCACGTCATTGACTTTAGTGCAAGATCAGTTTACGTTGTCGGTTGATTGCACAGGGACGAGTTGCATATTCGCTGCTTTGTCGGGTGCAGTAAGGCATCTACAAACACCGCATTATTCGCTGCTTCTAAAATGCACTGTTTTAGCGTGCAATCTGCACAGCTCCTTGTACACAGTAATAACTTTGTAAAGCAATAGAACCTGACAAGATGCGCACAAACCTTGAAAGTGGAAATGTTCGTTATCCACCTTACAAAACAATCTTCTTCAAAAGTCCTCGTTAAGTGTCTTCTCACTCGCTCCTTTTTTTTTTTTTTAGGATAAAAAACAGCGAATTTGAAGCTCTCGGAAGTTCTCTGGCAAAACTGTGAGTCGGAGCGTTGTGGCGAGAGTGCACGCAATGGACAAGAAGAAGTTTGCTGGAACTGAAAGTCGTTCGGGAGACCCAAGGTCATTCGGCTAATGGAGTGTTTGGTCAATAGAGTCAGTGCAAAATAACGTTGAGTTCCAGGAAAACCCTGAAGTCACTCACTAGTGACTAGTCACAATTTCTGTCTTTTGATATATACAATTGAGTACATCGAAAACTAATTTAATAGTTACCTACACCTTGTCTTAATGCACAACTTCTCGATGAATCTAAAGTGCGCTGGACATTCAAAGTGGTTTGAGTCTTTCCCATATTTCCCTCCCGATGTAAGTATTTCAGTTAATGTCACTTTTCACAGGGAATCACTCGTGCTTACGTTCGTATATAAATGAATTCGAACTGGGTACGTCTGGAAATTGCGGCTGTGGCACGGGTGATTCATGTATTTGTGAGTTTATTATAGCTATATGAAAGTATAACACGTGCTGTGTCTTGTTGCCTGACTCGAAGGGCTTTGCCCCTTTATTCCCACTTCAGTGAATAATCGCCTCCCTAAGCGTAACCTTCTTGCTCTTCATGCGCTGAACCACGACGTCTTGGGGCTTTTCACCGTACATGACAAAATAGAAAGTTTTATTGTGTGTTCAATTTTTTTTATGTCGATGTTATGACTGATTTTGTTTGCTTTGATCGTTAATTGATGACCCTGCATCCTGACTACACTCAAATTAGTTTGTCTGCTTCGATGTAGCAG